ACAGACATTGAGGAGGGGTAAAGGTAGCTGCAGTGACTGCAGAATCAGAGATTTCGTTCATGAGAGTATTAAAAGGATAGACAAAAGTCAGTAAAATGATCTGGAATAGATCAGGAGAGATAGAAACAATGAGAATAAAGAAGGAGAAATGAGTCAGAGATTCTCTTCCCAACACATAAAAATCCTATGGGAGTATTAACCCGTAGATGTGAAGGAACCAGAGGATGTCAGGAGGAAGCTGGGAACAATCTCCAAGGTGCTCTGGGAGGACGCATGCTAGTACCTTGGAGCCATTGAGGATGTAATGATCTCCCTGTCTTTTAGCAGAGGTCAGAAGAGAGGCAGCATCACTCCCGCTTCCTGAGGAGAGATCAAAAGACAGCAGAGAGAGGGTGAGAAAGTCAGTGAGGTCAAGGGAGCCCAGCACAATTCTATCTCCTAGGAAATCTTCCCTGGACAGACACTGGTCAGAGGGTGCCGCTGCAAAATCCAGGTGGCCAAAGAAACTCCGTACTTGGTGGAAAACTGCTCGCACCAGTCAGGCCACTGTCTATCTCCCAACCCACCATATAGGCCGCCTGGTTCTTCTGACATCAGGTCATAGGACACTATTACTTCTTGGTCAAACATACTGGTAAATAGTGGCTCAACGTGCCAACAGGCTGGAAGGAGTGATGGGTGATGCCATCTGAGGCACGCCTCTCTCTCTGCTGTATCTCAGTGCAGTGTGGCAAACCCACCTGGTTCAGTGAGGCAGTAGGAAGCAAACTTCTCCATGGTACAGAGCGGTGGGCAAAATCTGTGCCTCTGTTCCTCATTTCCAAAGCTATCAATCATCCAGGCACACATGCTAATAGGTAAACCAAGAAGAAAAGACGTCAACAGAAATAACGGTGGAAAAGAAAAAAAAAACCGGGGAAGAAGGGGAAAGAGAACAAAGGGCAGGGCAGCAAAGCAGAAGACTGGGAAGGGGAAAGTCACAACTGGGAAGACACTTTAAAGGAAAGGGCTGGATTAAAACATATTCCTGGAATATGGACTACCCAGAGATAACCAGGCCCATGTACTTCTCACCAGGACGTTTATACTACTTCTAGTCAGGTTACACAAGCCTCTAAAAATCAAAGCATTATATGTACTTGCTATTAGTACCTTCTATTACTTCCTCAAATCACGGGCAGTTCCATCTTTGGACTGAAACGGGTGAGAGGACCCTGTCCACTCTATTGGAGAAGTCTCCTGGTACCAGCTCAATCTTAAGATTTCTGGGAAGGCTGGCTGCCCTGATTCTCTAAGCAATACAAAGGACAACAGAATCAAGTCCAACAGGCAGCAGCAAACCTAGCGTGTTCCTTGAGGACACTCAGCCTCACAAGATCAATCTTTTTCCTATGGATCTGAACTCTCAGTCACCCCATGTGTACTTCATTGTGCTTTCCAAGCGTGGGCACTCACTTGTGGATGCTTATATAGGCTGTGGTGCTGGTGCAGCCTGTAGCCAAGGCTTCAAAAATGACCGAGGTATCAAGACGTGACAGTCCAGACCCACCCACATCTGTTCGTACATAGGCCCCTCCGAAGCCTAGCTGGGCTGCCTTCCGCATCATATCCACTGGGAACAGCTCCTATATGCAAAAGAGAGCAAGGTCATCAGCAACTGATTCAGAGACGGCTTTCCTTTTAGAGGGTACAGTAAGGAGATCAGGATGCTTACACGTAAGTGAGAATATGGATTCTCTTAACATGCCTGTTTGTCATCTTACAGTGGTTATCAGTTAACATGGATCCTGTAGGAACTGTTTTTCTGGCATTATGAAGTTTCTTTTTATTACCTATAGAAATGTCTTAGTTTGATGTCCAAATCGTTGTTCAACTAACCAAAAAAACATATGTACAAGATGATCAGGATGCCTTTCTAGGAAAGGAATCATCCGCTGCCGGTATTCTCACTTGTGGCAAGAGTTGGTAGGTGGAGGAGACATTGAACAATTAGATTATCAGGAGACAAAGATAAAGGTCTATCTGAGACATCTGTTAGAACGTCTAAGCACAAGAAAAATTCCTACCTTCTGGTCCCACTCTGCCATATTTGGAGCCATCTCGTGGGCAGCAAAGTCAAAGGCTACTTTCTGAAATTCTTTCTGCTCTTCATTAAGTCCCATGGAAGCTGTGGGCAGGATTGCATATACTCAGTTCTAGGACAGGGTCAGGGAAGTGTAGCCAGCAAGAAGCACCACGAAGCTGTGAAAGTGGATCTACTATAGTATTTCACATGCACAGTACAGCTTTAACAGCTAGAGAACGGCATCTTCTATCATTGTTCCACTTGTCATATGGAGAAAGGACAGTTCTAACACACATCCAGATCAACCTAGAACAGGATGGAGGACTTCCAGACATCTCTTATCCTAGCCACTTAGTAAAATGCAGTTGTAGACCTAGAGGTCGAGGTCACAGTGCTAAAACTTTGATCATTATAAGTGCCACTAAGGAGCACTATGGGAAGACTATGGAGACACACTTGAACAATAATTTATTTCAGTGCCTGCAAGCGATCCAGTCGTTACAAAAGAACACAAGTGCAGGTGCCAGAGTCTGTTCCTTGGGGCAAATGTGGGCATCGGTAATGTCTGGCTGTGCGAGCATGGAGAGAACACTTCTGTCTGTGATCAGTACTCTCATTAAAATGGGAATGTCAGAAATGAATAGTTTTGAGGATTAAAAATTAGACTGCCTTGAAAAGCTCAGAGCAGAAAGCTATGACAGGTATTACTCTCAGGAACAGAACTAGGGATAAACAATTCATGGTTCTCTGACTGGGGTCAGGCCATTTCTTTACCCAATTTTGTACAAGGGTTGCTGTAGACCATGGCTCAAAGATCACTCCCTAAAGAATGTGTATTGGGTGTTTACTACGTAGCAGTGCTGGGGTTACACAAATAAATATGGTCCAGCTGCACTGTGGCTCTCGCCAGTCATCCCAGCCCTTGGGGAAGCCAAGGCAGACGGATCACTTGAGGTCAGGAGTTTGAGACCAGCTTGGCCAACATGGTAAAACCCCATCTCTACTAAAAATACAAAAATTAGCCAGGCATGGTGGCACACGCCTGTAATCCCATCTACTCAGGAGGCTGAGGCAAAGAATTGCTTGAACCTTGAAGGCAGAAGTTGCATTGAGTTAAGATCGCACCACTGCACTCCAGCATGGGTGACAGAGCCAGACTCCATATCTAAATAAATAAATAAATAAATAAAATCCATTCACACAAGATGGCATAAATGGTAATAATGGAAACATTTTATTTCAATCCTAGCAAGAACTCATTAAATGTTAACAATTCTTCTTCTTTTGTAAATGGCTACTTCCTAAAACAAATAGTTCAAGGAACCACAGGCTTAAGAAATAAATCCTGGCCGAGCCTGGTGGCTCATGCCTGTAATCTCAGCACTTTGGGAGGCTGAGGTGGGTGGATCACCTGAGGTTAGGAGTTCGAGACCAGCCTGGCCAACATGGTGAAACCCTGTTTTGTTTTGTTTTGTTTTGTTTTTTTTAAAAAAAAAAAGGAAAGAAAATCCTGAGTTGCATTCTAATAGCAGAAAATGGTTTAATGCAAATCATATGCATAAATAAACACAACCTAATTACCTAAGTTCCCAGAAAGAAATACACTACAAAAAACAAAACAAACACCACCACTCATGAACTTTGCTAGTTACTCGCAGAGTTCCAGATGCCAGTACATACACACTAAAAAGATGAAGGTAAATAGAAAAACAGCCCAAATAAAATGGGAAAAGCCTTTTACTGCAGAGCAACTCAAGTGTAAGTAAGATGCAAACAACAACAAAACCCACCTTTAAATAATTCTTTACCTGCTTTGGTATCAACCAGAGTGATCTGGGTTATCAAATTCTACACGTTAGGACAGGGCAGCACCTCTTGAAGGAGTTTTAGGACATTGAGAAGAAAACAGTATTCTATGCCTTACTGTACTTTATAGATCTGATGTCTAAGGGATGTATTCTGTTGAAAAGAAAACTGTCATTTATTTAAAATAAATTTTAAAATGTTTCAGAAGAAAAAAGTGTTTATAAAGGTGCTTGGCAGAGAAGTCATAAACTGGCCAGGTTCCTTCAGTTCCCTGCTGGGTCCCCACCACTCCTTGTTACATTCAGATTATTTATTGGTTAGAGCCTACAAACACTCAGGTTTGTTGGCCCCGGTAGTTTCCCACTTGCAAAAATAATTATTTTTCCTGGATGAGTCAATGTGTCCTCTAGCCAGAAGCATTATGATACCAAATCTTTCTGTGTGAGCAAATCTCGTGTGCCCTGCCACCATCAGCACTCAGCCAGCTTCTTACATTCTCATTCCCTTTATGACCCACCGTTAGGATTTTAAAAACCAACCAACCCAGCAACAACAAAGCCCCTTGTTTCTTCTCTTCTCTAAGCATCCGAGGGTGAAAGGTCGGAGGAGGACCCGAGCTAGGGGTGACGGGCCGGAGGGGAACCCGGGCGGGGATCATGGGCCGGAGAAGGACCAGGGCTTGGGTGACGAGTCGGAGAAGGACCTGGAAGGGAGTGACAGGCCGGAGGAGGACCTGGATGGTGGTGACTGACCGGAACTGGAAGCTGGGCAGGGGTTGACCGGCCGGAGCGGGGAGCCGGGCCGGGGGTGACAGGCCGGAAGGGGGAGCTGATGCCGGGGTGACTGAATAGAGCGGTGAGACCGCGGCCCCTCGCGGACACCTGTCCTCCCGCCCCCGGCAAGCGATCCTTACGGTCGATGCAGGAGGTCAAGCTCCGGTGGCCGGTCTGGACTAGGGCCCAGAGACCGCCAGGCAGACAGCCGAGGCGTGCCCCGAGGCACTGGCAGCCGCTCCGCAGCATCCCTGCCGCCGCTCACTGTCCAGCTGAGTGCCAGGGCGCCTATGACCGCCGCTGCATTCGCACTGGCGGGACCTGCGACCCGGCAACGCCTACCCCACTGCACCCTGGGTGTTTTAGTCCTCCCACAAGCCCTCACGATTCAGTTCCCAGAGGGTATCCCAAGGGACCAGGACCACAACTCCCAGAATTCCCCGCGATCTCGGCGCCACAGAGACGCATAGCCCACCGAGCGCCGCGGGATCGCGCTGCACAGTCTCCGGCGCGCCGGGGGGCCGCGGTTACGTCTGCAGAGTGGTGGGTCTGTGTGGTGAGAGTGGGGTGCGGGGGATGAGAAGGACCAAGGAAAGAACCGAGGAGAGTTTAGGGGCAGGTTATGCGAGATGGAAATGGCGCAGACAACGGAGGGAAGGGTTTGAGGGGCTCAAACACAGGTGTCTTTTGCAAATGTGGACACTCTAGGCTGCCTCTAGTTGCCTCCATCTCGCTCTGCGTGGGTTTTGGGGGATATTAGCGTTCCTTGTGTCTCGGTTGATTCCAGAGCCTTCCGCACTTCCCTGCAGGGAGACCATGTCGAGACCCCGGAAGAGGCTGTCTGAGACTTCTGGCCCAGGTGAGCTGCCCCTAGGCTGCACAAAGGCAGCCCAAGAAAGAACCTTTTGTGATTTTTTTATTCCATTTTCCTTAATCACTATCCTTTTTTTTTTTTTTTTTTTTTTGGAGACGGAGTCTCTCTCTGTCACCCAGGCTGGAGTGCAGTGGCGTGGCCTTGGTTCACTGCAACCTCTGCCTCCCGGGTTCAGGCGATTCTCCCGCCTGTCTCCCTAGTAGTTGGGACCACAGACGCGTGCCACCACCCCCAGCTAATTTTTGTGTTTTTAGTAGAGACGGGGTTTCACTATGTTGGCCAGGCTGGTCTCGAATTCCTGACCTCATGATCCGCCCCCCTCGGCCTCCCAAAATACTGGGATACAAGCGTGAGCCACCGCGCCCGGCCCCACTCTCCATCTTCTTTACTGGTCTCACCAAGCTCCTACGTCGAGTTCCTTTTGTTTGTTTTATTTATGAAGACTATTTGCTATTGCAAATACTGGGTGGCGTGCTAAAGTAATGAATATACAGCGCCTGCTCGCGGGTAAACTGCAAACAGATGTGAGGGGTTTCAGGAGAATGGATTGTTAAGGTTATAGAGGGAGGAATCACAGGGAAGGCCCCGAAAAGAAGTGGAGTTTTTGAGACCAGCCTGGAAAAATGGGAGACTTTCCACAGGCAAAGCTGTAGTACTAAGAAAACGTGTCGTTTTTATATTCACAAAGATGGATGGCATTCTAAGTGGATGGAGGAGGAACATTGGAAGGTACAGGAAGTACCTCTTTTGGGAATGACGGGTTCCAGATATACTACAGCACATTGCAGTTATTTAACAATATGTGGTATTTGCAGTGTGCCTGTGACTCCTAAGGGGCCACTACGAAACTAGGTTAGAAAGGTATGCTGGGTTCAGAGCATCAGACATCCATAAATGGTATTTAATGACAATTGATGTAGGGACTTTGACCAAATTCCAAGGCAGTATAGTACAGTCATTAAGTAGCTTCAGATAGACCTCAGTGACAGGTTCCAACCTCATATCTTGATTCCACTGTTACTGGATGTGTGATCTGGAGCACACCTCCAAGAGGAAGAGTAGAACATTTCATAGGTTATGTAGATTAACCAAGTTAGGGCTAGGGTAACACATAGACCTTGGGTCTTGTCATACAGTAACCTAACAACTTAGCTACTGAATGCCTACTGTGTTCAAGGCACACTGTCTTAGGATGAAATCGAATCATCACCATATCTACGATGTCCTGAATGAACCGTTTCTTTCAACTTTTATTGGCACCTTCAAGGAGCAGAAAGGAGACAGGCCATGAGCCACAGTGAGCAAGAAGGAAAGAAGTATGAGATGAGGATAATACTAGCTTTTATTGAGCACTTACTGTAATACCAGGCATTGTCTCGGCCCTTTGTATTATCTCATTTAAGCTTCAAAACAGTTTCAGGTAGCTGCACAGTTCCCTCTTTCCTTTCCTATGCAAAGGCATAGAAGAGAGAGAGGGAGGAAAGGAAAACATTTATTGACTACTGTCAGGACCTTTAATCCTGAACAACTCTGTAAGGTGTTCTTATCCTATTGAGTAGATAGCCCAGAAGATACCCTGTCAGGTAGGCATTCTTGTCTGATTTTTATAGATAGATAAGGAAAGCTTCCTAATGGTAAGATTAAGGTCCTACAGCTGGTAATGGATCCATGATTTGAATCCAAGTCTGACTCCAAAGTGTAAGCTTTTTCCATCATGAAACATTGCCTCTAAGAAGCATCATCTTTTCTTTTTGCTTCTCCTGTTGCAGACAAGGGGCTATCAGGAAAACGCACCAAAACTGGGAACTCAGGTGAGGCATTAGATCAAGTGGAGGACTCCAACCCTCAGACGACTTCAGCCAGTAAACACTGTGTGAAGAATCTAAGCAGCCACTGGCTGATGAAGTCGGAGCCAGAGAGCCGACTCGAGAAAGGTGTAGATGTGAAGGTGAGACCCTGGACCTTTCTCCAGTCCTTTCATGCTTTTTTTTTTTTTTTTTTTTTGGGGACGGAGTTTCGCTCTCCTTACCCAGGCTGGAGTGCAATGGCACGATCTCGGCTCACCGCAACCTCCGCCTCCTGGGTTCAGGCAATTCTCCTGCCTCAGCTTCCTGCGTAGCTGGGATTACAGGCACGCGCCACCATGCCCAGCTAATGTTTTTGTATTTTTAGTAGAGACGGGGTTTCACCGTGTTGACCAGGATGGTCTCGATCTCTTGACCTTGTGATCCACCCGCCTCGGCCTCCCAAAGTGCTGGGATTACAGGCTTGAGCCACCGCGCCCGGCCCATGCTGTTTTTTAAATGAGAAGTGAACATGGGACACCATAGGGTTCTATCCCCAGCTTCTTATCTTTGAAGGGTGGGAAAAAGGTAAAAATGAATAAAATTGGCTGGGCATGGTGGCTCACGCGTGTAATCCCAGCCCTTTGAGAGGCTGGGAGGTCGAGGCGGGTCGATCATGAGGTCAGGAGATAGAGACCATCCTAGCCAACATGGTGAAAGCCCGTCTCTGCTAAAATACAAAAACCTAGCCGAGAATGGTGGTGTGCACCTGCAGTCCCAGCTACTTGGGAGGCTAAGGCAGGGGAATCACTTGAACTCAGGAGGCAGAGGTGGCAGTGAGCCGAGACTGCGCCACTGCACTCCAGCCTGGTAACAGAGCAAGGCTCCATCTCAAAGTAACTAACTAACTAAGTAAGTAAATAAGTAAATAAAATCGGCAGAGTTTATCATCATCAACTGTTTTGTGAATTCTATCTATCTAGGCTAAAGGTTGGCCAACCTTTGCTACAAAGGGCCAGATAGTAAATTTTGCAGGCTTGTGGATGTTAGTCTCTGTTGCAACCCTGCCCTTGTAGCAAGAGAGTGGCCAGAGATAATACATAAACAGCTATGGTTGTTTTCAAGTACAATTTATTCACAAAATCCAGCATGGGGTTAGATTTGCCCTGAAGGCTATAGTTAACCAACCTCAATCCTAGTTTACCTTTCTCTGACCATCTGCCATGCTCCCAGGTGTCTCCCTGCCAACAGTTGGTGTATATTTCAGGGAATTTAATGTAGCCTGGGAAAAATATAAGCAGAAATATTATAGAAGAAATACATAATAAAGTGCAATGCAAGTAACCAGCAGATGACTTTATCGTCTAGATTATCTATTCAACTAGTGGATATCTATTCAACTAATTATGAGGATAATTAGCAAGGATAACAAGGTAACACAAGGCTTACTTATATTCACCCAACAAGTGTCTCTGTGGAGCCACTTCCCAGTAACGACATACTTCCACTCTAGCCAGTGGCCCCTCTCACTGTAGGGGGAACTGTCTGCTTCAATATATGCTTACTAGCTGGCCAAGGATTAATGATTGACTTTATTTCCTCTTGCCTAGTTCAGCATTGAGGATCTCAAAGCACAGCCCAAGCAGACAACATGCTGGGATGGTGTTCGTAACTACCAGGTAAGAGGGTAAGGAGCAGGCTCACTGAGACCCAGGTGGGATAAACGCCTGCCTCCTCCTCATGACTTATTCAGTAGCAGAACCTCTTGGCCTAGGTTGCTTTTTTTTCAGAACCAAACCTGATAATGTATTTAAAAATGCCCTAAGTGCTCTGCATGAAATTTGCAATTGGCCTGTGTTCTGGCCAGTGTAGTGGTAAAAGTTTGGGTGTCCTGGCAAAGGGGAAGGACTTTCTAACAAATTGGGGAGAAGATGCAAACAAGAAAAAACCATCTAATAAAAGCAGACGTGATTTCTGCTAAAAGCTAGTACTTTCCAGCTGGTAGGGAGGATCATTCTTGTTTCTTCTCCCCTGAGACAGGCTCGAAACTTCCTTAGAGCCATGAAGCTGGGAGAAGAAGCCTTCTTCTACCATAGCAACTGCAAAGAGCCAGGCATCGCAGGACTTATGAAGGTTAGTTGGACAGGTTTTGGTCTGAATCCTTTTCCCTCCATGGAGACTAACTTAAGTCAATATAAAGGGATACATGTTAAATAGGTAACAAAAAAGTACACTCCCCCTAGCCTACCCTCCTTGTCACAAGAATAGGGAAAAACTGCCTTGGCCCATTCCTATATGACAACAACTCAAACAAAGTAGGCCTTCATTTCAGGTCCCACTAGCACAGACTTAAGTCTTAAGTCTTGATCTCACTCGAAAATAGTCCTGATAGTAGCTCCACCAAGCTTATCAGGATAAAATTATTAACTGTGCAGGTGGGAAAAACACAGTGGTACCAGTAATAAAATTTGCCATTTGCTTTTAGAGCTTGTTTCTAAGAGACTTTTGTAAAAACAGAGTTGATTTCCTAGACTATGTATTAGGCTATATATTATTTCCAGATATCTGAGCCTCCATTGGCTCTACAGCAAGGCAGATGGGGTAAGAATGTGAAGGCTAAGAAATGAAAGTTGTATATGGATTAAAAATTGGCTGTGGAGCTGAATGCAGGCAAATGATAAGAAACTTTTGTTTTGGTTTCAGATCGTGAAAGAGGCTTACCCAGACCACACACAGTTTGAGAAAAACGATCCCCATTATGACCCATCCAGCAAAGAGGACAATCCTAAGTGGTCCATGGTAAAGACTGTGCTTCTTATTTCATGACAGAGGAAGGATGAACAAGGGGAGGAAGATGGTTGGGGTGACTGTAGGTCAAGGTACACAGCCCAGCACTTATTCAGATGACGTGATGCTGACTTTGAAGTTAGGAACTTCCTGCAGGCAGTTAAAAACACAGCAGGCAGAGTCTCACTAGACATATCTTTCTGTCATGTACACTCTTGTCACATAGGTGGATGTGCAGTTTGTTCGGATGATGAAGCGTTTCATTCCCCTGGCTGAACTCAAATCCTATCATCAAGCTCACAAAGCTTCTGGTGGCCCCTTAAAAAATATGGTTCTCTTCACTCGCCAGAGATTATCAATTCAGCCCCTGACTCAAGGTAAGAGTGGGTCCTCTCCTTTATCATCTGTGTACCAGGATGACCTCATGAATTCCCATTTACTGGCTGATTAAACTGGGCATGGCATTTCACCTTTCACAGTCAGCATCCTCACCTGCAACATCCATGAGGGAGGGAATGTCACCTGAGTTACAGGGTTTTGCACCTGGTAAATCGTTTTCAATGACTGCTCGCCTTAGTACCATGTAAAAGTGCCTGGCATAACTTCCCTGTTCAAGAAGAGACATAAGACCCAATTCTTCCCTTTTTCCCTTGCATTTTGTAGAAGAGTTTGATTTTATTTTGAGCCTGGAGAAAAAGGAACCAAGTTAAGTGAGATACTACTGCTGGAATGGGCAATATTACTCCAAAGAAGTCAAGGATTTTTCAGAGAAAAGAAGGTGTGAGAGGGCTTGCTTGTTATGCTCACCTGGGCTTGTGTACCTAGTGGTTTTGTGTACTTTTTTCCAATAAAATAATATCAAAGTTGAAAAAGTTTTCTTCTAAAACTGCACTGAGTACAGTGGAATTCTCCCCACTGCATACCTCTTACCTCCAAGCGGGCTCCTTTGGCTGCTCCAAGATGCAGGGCTGCCTCTGCCGTCTTTCTTTACCATCACTAGTAGTTCTGTAGCAAATAGCAGGATGTACGGCTGAGACCACCCCCCGCCCCGCAGTCTGGTAACACCCACTGGAATGGACTTTTGTCTTTCTACACCAGACTTGCTCACCTGCCCCTTACATCATCTGGGTCCCATAGAGGATTAAACCATCCCATGAGCAGTTCTGGACAAACTGCCAGATAGGGATAAGAACTGAATTCATTTCTCAGCCATGTGCTTTGTCTCAAACAGGCGGTAAATAAAGTATTCATCAGGCTGGGTGGTGGCTCACTCCTGTAATCCCAGCACTTTGGGAGGCTGAGGCAGGCAGATCACCTGAGGTCAGGAGTTCGAGACCAGCCTGGCCAACATGGAGAAACCCCGTCTCTACTAAAAAATACAAAAATTAGCTGGGCGCAGTGGCAAGTACCTGTAATCCCAGCTACTTGGAGGCTGAAGCAGGAGAATCGCTTGAACCTAGGAAAAGGAGGTTGCAGTGAGCTGAGATTGTGCCATTGCACTCCAGCCTGGGAGACAGAGCGAGATTGTCTTAAATAAAGTATTCGTCATTTTTCACCAGGGGCTATACAGTGAGAGCACAGGCACTATGTTGGGAAATCGGAGCAGGTATCTGTCTTTCCCTGAGTGTCAGAAATGGGACTGTGTAAGACAGAAGAGATCACAGAACCTGGTGGACCGTGGGCACAATGCCTCCAAAGCCACAGGGGCTTCCTTTAATCAGAGAGACCATTAAAACAAATGTTCTTTTAAAATACAGCCATTGAAAAGACGACACATTAAGAAACATGTAAACACTGCAGCTGCTTAATTACAAGTTGCACTGCTTGATTTAGTACCTATGCACTCCCAGGTTTGGGGACCTTAAGAGAGGGGGACAGGAGCCTCCCCTCACTTTCACAGTTGGATAGAGAAGGCAAGAATGTGGGTAGAGTAAGAGAAAACAGAAGACCTGGCTTGTGCACAGCGCCTGAGAGAATCAAAGCAAAATGTATCTTCTAGTTCTCCCAGAAGAAAGGTTTAAGATGTTAGGAAGGATGGAAAATGAACATATGTTGTCAGTTGGGAGGCAAAGGAATTGACAAATGCTTCTAGTTAGAATACCAACTAGGAAAAGCAGGCATACAGAGCCTGACCTCATGCTCTGAAAAGGCAAGGAACCCAGAACCTGCCTCCCTCATCCACTTAAGCCCCAACCTTGATCATCAAGGGCAGTGCATGGGTGATCCTGTTCCCATGAGGATTGTGCATCACACCTGAACACAGGACCCTGCGTGGAGGAAACAACATTGCCTTCCTTGGTTTTGCTGCCCCTAATCACCCAGGCCACCCCAAAATGCCTCTCCCTCCAGTCTCAGCTCTGATCCATGAGCCCTGCCAAAGGCCTGAGACTGCACTGATCTCAGCAAAACAGGAGTCTGTCTTTCCCACACTAACTGAAAGGTGACACAGGAACCAACCCCTTAACTTTCCACATTACTGAGAATTCAGACCGCCAAATACTCTACCTGTTGGCCAGTGAGGCCTGCTTGGTCTTTCTATAAAGGGAAGGGAAGCCAATAGGAGAGTAATGCCTGTCACTTCCAGGGGAGGCAGAAAAAGGACGGTAAACAACTTAGGCCCCAGCGCACAGCCATAGAGGGAGAAGTGCCTTCCTCTCTAGCATAACAAGAATATTCACAAGAATTTGTGTATACTGTATGTGTTTTTTAAACACACAATACCAATGGTCCTGAACTTGGGTCAATCAACTGGTGAAGATGACATTTGGCAAGCAGAATGATTCAGAAGTGAGGCAGCAGTCTACTGCAGAGGCCAGTCTCCCCTGCATATCCTATAGGAAGAGGGGTAAAGGGGCTTGGATATTAGTAAGAACAGCCTTGCTAAGGGTTCAAAACTTAAGCCCCAATTCCCAGAAATGAAATGGAGGGCGAGGAGAGATGAGGGTCCACTCTCAGGGAGGTGGAGGGATCAAGGCCCCTTCCTGGGATTGCTTCTTAAGGGAAACAGGCCCTCTTGCTAAGGGCTTGTTGGGGCACATGGAGCAATACCTAGAACAGCCCAGACCTTGGGGTTACCAAGTGGAGCCATGTGAAGGCAGGCAGTTGCCATGCTCTGATCTTCCTTGGTGGACTGGGCTCAGCTTCCTGGGTTCAACACTGCCACCATCCATGCATGACACTGACCCCAGGACTTCTTTGTGCCCAAGGCCTTTCCACAGGCTTCTGTTTCAGGACATTTCTGACAATCCAGAGAGGATGGAGAAGGATGGTGCTTGGGTCCCAGCAGTGAGGGGCCAGAAGGAGGTGGCCTGTGGGAACTTGAGATCACCACATCCAAGATTCCCAAAGAGGTAGCTTCCCAATCATGAGTCTTCCCCCTGCCATTTAGTGGGGGCTGGCCCCACTCCTGCCACTACCTCAGGGACAGTAGAGGGCAGTACAATACATGACCACCCAGGGCCCTGTTGGCAGCTCAGAATCCTAGGGACATGCTCAGATCCTGTATCAGGAAGCTTGGAGAGCCAGGAGCCAAGGATGCGTGCTCTCTACTCTCCCTCCTGTAAGACACAAGGCAGCCCCGTGTGGAAGGCCTTAACAGAAGGCTCATGTTCCCCAGACAGGTTGGATTCCAGGATGCTACCTCTCCTATCCCACATTGGCCGTAGAATCCCAAGGAGAGACTGCTTCCCACCCCAAGTCCCTTGGGTTCTCCAGAGAAAATAATTTAAGTCAAAAACATGATTTGTTTTCAGGTTGCAAGTAACAGGTCAACTGAGCCTCACAAGGTCCGCCCCCACCCCCAGCCGCTGGTGTTGGTAGATGGGGGTGCTGGGTGGACGCCCAGCAGCTTCCTGGCCTTGAGGGCCTACTGCCTGCAGTTGTTGTCAGACAGCTGGCTGGGGGTCCGCACCTCACCCAGGGAGGTGGTGCCCTCGAAGCGCTGTGAGGCGATGGCCGCCTGGTGGGACATGCTCTTCCGTACGATGTCACCCTTCCGCCACAACACCACTTCCTGCAGAATTGAGAGGGGGCAATGTGACACCTTAGAGGGAGGCGTGGGGACAGGTTTCCCAGAGGCTCCCAACTTTGTCTGGGGAGTCTTGGGCAGGACTTCCTCTGCTTATCTCTCACCAAAGGCAGCAGCTGCCAGCACCTCCCTGTCCCTGGTGTGGGCCAAAAGGGCAGGTGGTTGCAGGAGCAGGCCCCAGGAAGCAGACTCTAATGCCAGGTGGAATCATTGTTCTTGCTGTGCAACTGTGGGTGACCTGCTGTTCCCACCTCTTGGCAAAAACAGAGCCTGACCTTCCATAGGAAAGACAGCCTCCTGTTCTGTCCCAAGGGCATCAGGGCCCTTACCTGCTGCTTGAAGTAGCGCCGCTCCTCCTCGTCTATCAGCACCAGGTTGAGGTAATAGCGCACAGAGAACTTCTTGTTGATGTCCCGCATGGTGGGCGTGAGCTCATACCCTGCCAGGAAGAGCCGGATCGGAATGGACTCTCCTGTAGGGGGAAGGGAGGAGTCAGCACAGAGGGCAAGGTGACGCACTTTCTCTTATACCAGGTCAGTTTGACCACTGCAGAGATGCCACTGGAACACAGCACAGGAACGCTTCTGCCTTCTGGAATCTGGCTCTATTTGCACAGCTGGCTCTCTCCTGCCCAGCAGGCTGCTGAAACAAAAATGGGACTCTCCAATTCCACTCCAGGTTATGTTACGACTTCTGTGTCTTCTCCAAAACAGAGCAACTGAGTGGGAACAGCACAGGGATATTATTAGTATAAGCATCTTTTGATTACATGTGGCGTGTTGAGTTACTGGGTTTTCAAAAGTTAAGTCACCATTCACCCGGCAGTTCTGATGCCATCTTTCTCCATCCTCAGTGTATGCCCTCCAAAATACATCCTCCCTCTTGTGTGGACTGCCAGGGTGGTATGGTGGTCTAGAAAGCAGAAAGTCCTTACTATGGCATCAGTTCTGCATGAACCGCTTGTCTGACTTGTGAGTAAGTCTGCTGCTTCCTCTGGACCTTAGTGTTCTCATGTGGAAAATTAGGGAATCAGACTGCAAGATACTAGAGATCCCTTGCAGCTCTAACATCATGCCTTATCTAGTATCAGTGGAACAAAACTAGAGCAGTAATTCTACCGAGAAAGACCAAACCTATAATGTAGTCTAAAGCTAAATATAAGCTATCTTATAATTATCTGCTGTTTTACATGGATTCTCAGTGACCCATTTCATTTGTACAGGAAAAATGACGGCTGGCTCTATTTGCACAGCCAGTGAAAAAATGGGACATCAGAGAGTGTCAGGAGAGCTTGGTCCCAACCCTCCAAAGACCTGGCATGGTAACACCTGAGAGTGTCCTCAGAGCTGTGGGCAGCTAAATCTGTGGTGCTCCTCCTTCCACATGGAACAGCCTGTGAGAGTAAATGGAATAAGCTAAATAAAACCCTGAAAGCACCGCACGCTTCAAAATGAAGAGAGTCTTCACCATTCTTGAAGAATGGCCAAAGAGCCAATGAGGAATGTAAATGAATGCTTATTCCAGATAATCACAGTCCCCAAATGACAAAGGGCTTCCAGCTCCACTATCCCAGATGTAATGTTAGCTCCCTGGGCTGGAAGAGGACGCTTCCACCAAGTTCCACGGCTATCTGGGCACCTGGTGGTGTTGGCTAGAGCATCTAGTAGTGCTTTCTACCTGACAAGTGAATTCAGAGAATAAATGGGAGCCAGAGCCAAGTCACGGATGGGCTGCTGTGTATGCATCCCTTGCTCCCTAGCAGCAGAGAATGCCACAATGTTAACAGAAAGAAGTAGGAATGTGTTCAAACCACATGTGCTACAGCTGGACTTTCCAAAGCAGCAG